GCGCACGGGGCGGATACAACTTCGCCAAAACATTATCTGTGCAAGCCCGAGGGTACAGGAAGAAGACCGTCCAGACGATGTGCCGGTTGTTACAGATCTTTGACAAAGATTCACAGCTTGACTCACGCTCGCAACCATGACCCCAGAGTAAAAACGAACTAATACTGTTGTAAAAACCACTACTGCCTCAACTGCTTTAAAAAAAACACGTGGATGTGTTCCTAATATTACTTCTATATTGCTAGCATTATATTTGTATATAATAGTCAGTGAGAAGAAGCAAAAATCGCTGAAATAGTGATGGAGTGCATGGCTGTGGGAGAATTTCGCTTACTCGAGAGGTTTTTTGGCAGTGTAGTGATAAGAGATGTCATGGAAATGTCCCTTATCTTTACTTATCAATTGATAAAATTGCTTGTCACTCGTCATCAATGTCGCTATCAGTAAAACTGCCATCAATTTCGTGGTGTAGAGGCCTCAGCGTTTGATTGAACAACAACTGCATCGTTCTCTATCAGGCCCTATCAGCTGTTATCATTTTCCTTGCCACCAGCCGTCGCATTCTCCACCTTCCTCTTGAATCATTTGCTTGAAATCAACGCCTAACTGATGCTGCGTAACGCGTTATGATTATGTTGTCCCATCCATTCTAACTCCCCTTTATCTGGGCTAGCGAGTGCTTGTCACCGACATATTACCTGTGCCGCAACCTATATCATATCCTTGAAAAAACGCCCAAGTGTTCCAGTCGGACCGTCCGTATTCCCTTCTCTTGCCCTCTGCTTCCTTCTCTTACGCAATGCTCAGAATAGGGCTGAGCACGCGCAGGGGAAGAAGCAGAGGGGGCGTGCGCCCAGTGCATCCCTCTCGCGCACCCTACCCTGCCACCGCACGAGCACACGTCCAGCTGCCACGCCAGCAGCTCGTGCAATGGCTCGGAGGTGTACCGAATGGTTGTCTTATAATAGCGGAGGCTATTATCACGATCAAAAACATTGGATTGCTACATCCTCCCATACGGTTGCCGGTTTCCTAGCGGTCGTTTTCTCCTCCAGCGAACTCGAACCCGTGAAGCATTTTGCGGACGGACAGACATACATACATACATACATACATACATACCTAACAAACCATACAACCTCACACACAAAGTTACTGGTTTATAGAATGTAAGGATAAGTGCTAGTGAAAAAGAAAGAAAAATAGCAAAAACCAATGAAGAGGCGCCTGCACATCCGAAAATACACGATTCGCCTGAAGAAAAGTTCTGAGTGTTTTTTCGGCGGACATGCCTCTTCTTATGTGTAAATATGATTTCTTTATCGTTTCTTTGATTACCTGTATCCAGTTGTCAGTGGAAAAGGAAAAGAAAGTACCAAAAACCAGCTAATAGGCGCGTGTACTCCCGGGAGAACACACCGCCTCGAAGTGTTAAGGGCACGCTCCCATCTGGGATAACTCGCGTGACTCGTTAAACTACGCGGTGGTATCCTACTTCATTACCAGGGGACCATTTGCTTGCGAAGCGGGATTTATATGGGCACTATGAGCAGCTTTGCATGAACCCATATCAGGAAATCTATATGCTATAGTAGTTTTGGACGAGTTACCTGGCGTGCGACACGCGTCTTCTAATCTGTCATGACAGGCAGATGACACACAATCGCGTCATTTGACGGTCCCCTTCCACGAGCAGTCGCAACGCCAATCTTTTTCACAACGAGCGTTTGCTGCATGTAATGGAAGGAGGACGGCATGTTCAGACTTGTCATACACGTTCACACGTGAGCAAACGTTTGAATATACAGGGAATTTCGTGGAAATTCATGTTAGCAAGCCTCCCGAATAGTCGTTACCACTTTGCAGAAGGGGAGAAGGAGAAACTCTTCCATACCTACTATAGTCCAGTGGGGTGCTAGAAAGTTCACCCTGTACTCGTTCGAAAGAAATAACCGGTTAGTGGACTGACTTGCCGTATGGGTTTTAGTCCCACTTGATTGGCTCTATCTTTCAGGGAAAACAAGGGATGCAGCAGCTATGGATTCAAATACTCGCAGCACTGGCTCTTCTGAACCTAATCGTAATGCTCTCGTACATATCATACCAGCACCATCTACATGACTGGTGTGAGTTTTTTTTTCCTAATTCAATCGAACTCTACCTCTGCAACGATATTTTGGACACAGACATCCTCAAGAAAAGGCAGTATTCACTTTACATGAGTCATAAACGGGACGGGAAGCAGCGGTCAGAAAGTTCAAGGGCGGTTCGATGACTGCAATCACAGTTGTAGGATCGCCTCCTGCCGTCGCACGGAGCGCTGTGCAAATAAGGAGCGAAAATTTAATACTTCGACCAAGAACTCAATTCGTGAAAACCCTAAAAGATTCGAAGTTAGCCAGATGTTGTTTATGTCACCGAACACCTATTGGCACCACCTGTATCACATGGGTCATAACCTCCGAACGTCCTATGGAATGATTCTTACTGAAAACCGAGAGAGGAACTGGAAGCAGGGCGCACCATAGTTGTGAAATCATAGTAGACTGTCATGTTTCACCTTGAGATAGGGGTCATGTGCGCAGTTCTCATTGCCAGTCAGAAGTGGGAAGAGCTGCCATAGACAGATGTTATGTAGTCATTGGATGATAAAAGAGTTCGTTCATAGTTTCGTTGTAAATAATACCTGAAAAGACACCTGATGACAGAGGCAGGTCGCGAGAGGTAGGAAACGGGCGGTGATAAGGGGTACATAGGGTAGCCGCCGACAAAGACGTCATGAATGTGACTAAGTGAAACACAGCATACGCTAGGATCTTTCTTAACCACAGGAGCGCATTTGCTCGCACGGAGAAGCCTAATCTAGAAATATGTAGGTCCTTGTGACACTCGGATGTACGGCGCCATAGATGTAAATCGGCACCAAATGGGCTAGTTCCTGATAATTATGACTAAAAGATGTGTTCTAGAAGCGTATCAATCTTTGCACAACGGCGAATCGCATTGCGCTAGAGGGCGTTGCCCGAAACTGTCACAACAAAAACACAAGGCGGCATTTTCCAGATAGCGGATTTAGAGAAGAAGGTTCCACTTTCCGGCACTAATTTGGTTTAGCTAGAGGTCACATATGTGGAAAATTATGCTCTTTCAAACATGGGAGCTCGTAGATGGTGCTTAAATTCAACAATGGTGGAGCAACAAATCCCCCAAAAAGGTACTAGTGTCTGACCATCAGGCCGCTCAAGCCCATTTAAAGGCAGCGCCCGCGATCAACAAAAGTGAAAAACCCTCCATTGAAAACGAACGCAGAATTCGCAATCACAGCAGAAATCCCACTCTTGCGGCTCGAAATTGATTGGTTGACGAGGGCGGAGTCAACAGAGCCAGGCTGACGCCTCCTGTCCTGTTAATCCCGCCCCGACTGGTTGACAGTTATCAATGCTTGCTGGCATTGATATACGCTGAATTTCTAGAGTAGGCGGCCACGTGTATTGGAGAACTCACCAGAAGTTTGCGGAACTCGTCCACATGCCTTAAATTTCATAGGGTCTTATTTCACGCTCTTCCACACCTTTTTCCATGGCTTTTTTGTATTCGTCTTCATTGGCCACCTGTTCTAGAAAATGTGAACCCTGAAACCTGCCAAAGTCCATCGCGGGCGCTGTCTTTAATAAATATCAGTTCTAGAGCTTCACAACGCTACTTTCCGCTCCCCACAAGCATCACCCTCAGAAAAGTTATGGGTGTTAAGAAAAGAACTTTTCCGGCGTTCTCGACTTATTTAAAAAACCGCTAAATAGCTGGTTTCAGTGCGACCGCTGAATGCGCGTGAACGCTCAAAACTCAAGTATCTGGTTCGACATGGGGGAGGCATATTTAGCAGAAATTTTATATAGTTTGCCCTTTCAAGACAACTTCCCATTAAAGGCAGTTGACGATAAACCTCTGAGCAGGCGCTGCATAGGGCATTTCCTACGGAAGGTGCCCTTATAAGGGCCCTATCAGGCCACAACATATCGACCCGAACGCTCACCACGCTCGCCCCCCCACAAATGGACGACCATTCTTGACGCTCGTATTGATTCATTTGCTAAGCAAATTATGAAGCGAAGGGATTGGTATGAAGCGGCCGTGATGCTGCGTGGATATATGAGTACATATACGCAACCGTATCTTCGGTAGCGGCTATTGGCGACGCCTACGAGAAACTCGTCCAAAATTGATTTTCAAGTCATTGAAAACGGAGGCTCTTTCTTCGCAGGATTCTGACCGTTTCACTCCGTTCTTTCGCCACTTCCCCACTATATAGCGCCCTACTAACGTTTTAGGCCGAGGTCCAAATCGTCGTGTCAACCGCCTTTAAATCATTTCAAATATGAGGAATAGTTGTCTAGCGGGACTCAAAGGCAAGTGGAGCGGTAAATCGACAAGGCGTATAAGGCAATAGACCTAGTAAAAGGTAAAAAATATTGTGCCCCTAAGCAGGCGGCTGCCTGGCCCGCTTTTCAACGAGAGGCCCTTTCTATGGCCTTTTCACCCACAATCTGCGGAGGAATGGTGCCTTTTCTGTGTTCTAAAGTCCTTCAACAAGAGAAAGGTCCTCATTGGGTATCGAAAATCTGCAAAATTTGTAAGGTTTTCCTGCGTTTAGCTTTCGCAGCTGACCACTAGTAAACTAGCTTATTCGGATATTCGCTTAATACCTGATTGAGGCAGCTAGGTAGAGGTCCTTCTGTGGGCTTTTTGACCATTCTGTCCCGCTTGCTTCGCTATACTTTAGTGCCTCTCTTCCGTTTTCTACAGGGAACTACACTATCGTGCATAGTGACTTCGAACTAACCAACTGTTTAACGCCGCAGTCGCGATCCGAAAGTTATCACAAGAATGCTGAGTTGTGGGCAAAAGTCGGACCACGGGCGGGATCCTGCCCGTGGTCCGACTTTTGCACACAACTCAGCATTCTTGCGAGTCAGCTGAGGGTTACGTTCAAGGAAACTTAGATGCATTTAGCATATTCTCAAAAAGGACGAGAGTGGCGAGTATCAGAAGGACAGATATCTACGGTCTCTGACAGAAGTGTGCTTGATACATGTCCTCTTAGAGTGATTGATCCTCTTTCTCCTGAACTTCTCCGATTCCATAAACCGGATTACAATCCAAAGAAAGTGAGTTCTTTTTTCTCAGATTACCTCATTCATTCACCTACATAACACTCGAAAAACTCACAAGGGAGGTCACTGAGGAGGTGGTGCGCTTTTTAAAAACAGTTCTTTGCATATAGGACCTGAAAGTTAGCTTCATTCTCGCTTCGTGCTTCCAGGAAAGGCAAGAAAGGAGTGAAAAAATCTATGGAAACTGCTCCGTTCTAGGCCACTACGGCTGTAAATAACTTGTGGGCATCATCCGTTGCCGAATGGAGGATCCATATAAAGGCTATATTGAAACCGAAGTAAAAAATCACCGTGAAAAATCGAAGTGAGGATCCGATATGGGTGACGTGCTTGAAAGTGAAGGGCTCCTCAGAATTGGTTTATTCAACGATCCGAACGTTTGGAGAGTTTAGTATATAGCAAGGGGCTTTAACCGGGCAGTGACGGTGGGATTGATGGTTCGACTCCTGTCGGGCTTGGAGTGCTGCATATTTTATGTTTCGCTTACTTATATTTCTGTGCATGAGTATAACATGGATATTTACCATTTGTGAGCGCATTCTAAATAGCTATACCCTCGGTCTTATTCAAGTATTTACAAATACCATTAAACAAAACTGCTGCTCAGTGTTGGGAGTGAGCCTGCTGGTGCGGCGGCGCAAATGAAGAGAAGACTTTCCAGCTGCCATCTCTAACAAGGGAGGTAGTTCAGGCCGTGGTAAGATTTTCCAAAACGGTTTGTTGCATGTTTTAGGGGTCTATGCGAGGACCATAGCGATGGGGTTCATTTTTGCTAAACGGTACTGGGAATGTCAAAAAAAGGTCAAATAATTCGAAAAGAATGGACTTTTTAAACCACCACATTCGCCTCTGTTCTAGCTGTAGCGTTGACAGGGTATAGTATGTAGAGTATCCTTTGAGCAGGCATGAAAAACAGCGCAAAATAAGGTCAAAATCCAAATGCTTTACTCGGCATGTGGTGAACTGCATTGGAGTTTTTCGGTCCTCTGCGCATTTCTCTTCAACAGGTCCTGCATTTCCCATGTCGGCGTGGAGGATGGTGTGTTGGATGGCGTGACGGGCTCTCATTAAGTGGGTTTACGGATCGGAGCCCCTTGGCGGTACATTTTTTTTGCATTTTTTAGATTTCTTGCATCTTGTATTCCTGTAGGCCCCATAATGTGTATGACCCGATATACGCCATTCGAAGACACATTCCATGCGGGAACGGTCCACAACGGGGCCTCACTCAATTATTACGCTAGCGAAATACATCGAAGAAACTCTCTATGAAACTTGGGTTACGGCGGTCCGATGCTCTAATCATGAACATGACACTCATTTTTGAATATGGCGCAATGTGTCGCCAATTTGGTGCAAAGGCTATCTCGTACTAGCATCATTGTCAGTCTGCGCGGCGGGGCTTATTTAGCGCCATACTAGTCCCAGATGGCCTTGCGCCAAAAATAAGTGTCAGAACCGTGATCAGGACCATCAGCTATCCCTACGTATAGAGTAATGCCGGAAAACTTTTTTTTCTGAGCTCATTGTGTTATGATGCCTTCCATGTCTCCAGCTAGTGGCTATCAGTTTCCCTCCCCCTAAAGAGTCGTTATTCAACATTATTAAGAGGGGTTTTCATTTGTTAGTATGCAGACGAGAATTAACAACTACACAAAAAAAGTGTGGCGCATACACTGCACACCACCAATACGTGATATGGAAGAAACAAGATCTTTTTTTCCGGGCAGGTATATCGAGTTCTTTGTCGAAATTGTCGAAGACGGTAAAAGTGGAGAAAGTTTCAGGATGCTCGTTTAATGACTCCGAAACCCGCACGGTGTACTATGTAAACCTATTGAAGTTGAGAGTGCAAGAAATGAAAAATTTGTGGTGGTTTGTATGCCAGAGAGGATACTCAATAGAGGGTTCGCCTGTCACTGTCATCCAAATGGTCAAGTCCATGACCGCCAAAAAAACTCGAAAAAATTTTTTTCGCTGAAACCTCTTGAATAGGGGTAATCAATAGCCCTGATCACGATTCTGACAATCATTTATGGCGCCGACGTGATCTTGGGCCAGCGTGCTGCTAAATGGTCACTTCAAGCGCGAAGGGATACTGCATAAACCCCTAAAGGAACTGCCGTACCTCACTGTATGCGAAGTAAAGCACTTCAATTTCGACCTTATTCAATATTGTTTTTCATGTCTAGTTGAAGAACACTTTATAAACTCTATGTATTCTGCTTTACAGCAGAAACAGATGCGAATGAGATGATAAAATTTGCGAATTTTGAGCAATTTGTTTTTATTCCTTTTTTGGCATTCCCAATAGCGTTTAGCAAAAACGAACCCCATCTGTGTGGTCCTTGTATGGGCCCCTACATCATGCAACAAATCGTTTTGAAAAAGCTCACCACGGCCTGAACGACCTCCCTTGTGAGGCACATGGGTCTTCGTTAGTTGCAGTTATCATGCAGTTAGCCTTAGGAGGTCACGCTCCTCGCGTTGATTGCTGACTTGATGCGATGGATTTCCCTCGACTCTATGATTTTCTTCTCTAGCAGTCGTATTAAATGTTTGAGCATGGCCCTCATATCGAATGGTGGAGGGTCGCCCTCATGTTTAAGTGTACGACACTTGGAGAATGCGCTGCGTGGGTAGGCGGACAAGCTCTACATTGGACCAAATACACAGTGCCTTGGAGTTTATAGATCTTCTCGGATAAATGGTATTGACAAAAACGACACCGACGTTCGTAGAACAAGGACGAGGTTTTGTGGTCTTTAAGTGTGGGTGGAGGGCGATAGACGAGTGGAATAGGAAGCTGAAAACTCTTCACAGCGCGATTCACTTCTCGTGCCATTTTATCGTTAACAGAAGGCATTGTGAGGCCACTCCATCTTGAAGGCCCATGGAACCCATGTTTTGAAATTTCCTTTAAAACATCCGTTGCTTTCAAAGATCCTTCCGACCTTATCGTCTACGATCGGGTCCTTTCGCGTTCCGAGATTCTCTTTTGTTATAACAAGATTTCGTGCGATATTCGCCTTCATATAAATCGGATGACCACTCCTGAAATGCAACAAGTTGTTGGAGATGTTGGAGGAGGCGTTTTTCTTATATCAGGTGTTCGTGGCCCTAACCTATACGGAATTTTTTATTAAGAAAAGATAAGGATCCATCCGCTCCTGCACCTTCTCCTCGAGAAGGGATAATGCGGCTTGCACTGCATCAAAATTCTTAATGGTGTGACAGGCTCTCTCTGAGGTTTTCACAAGACCTTCCTCTGTCATCGCGATATCCTCGTGTCAACGATGACTTTTCGATGTGATCCAAAAAGATGACTACTAGCACAGGTGCTGTACGGCTTCCTATAGCCATGCCTCGTTTTTGCTGATGGAACTTATTGTTAAAGCAGAAAATGTTGCAGTTCAATACCGCTTCAATAAGCTTCTAATTTCCGTGTGGAGAATCCTATCGTCGAGATATGATCTCAGTTCTCCCCGAGAAGTGATAAGGCTTGCACTGCATCAAAATTGGTAACATTCGTATTAAGGGACACAACATCGAAGCTATTAGGAGGCTCCTTCTTGTACTGGGCAAAGGTGGAGTGACGAAAGAAATTCATTGACGTTAACAGTGTGCGCCCCCACGTATCGTAAGAGTGGCGAGAGCAGTCGAACTAGAAGCCACCTAAGCTTGTCCGCTGGTACGCCACATGACGCGAAGATCGTTCTTGTCTTAATTTCACAAGCGCATTGAATTCTCTCTCTGTGTCGTCACCAAGCTGTATAGCGTTAGTACTATCGGAGCCGAACCATGTAGTCGTTTTGCCACCTCGAGATACATTCGTTCCTTCACTACTGACATGATGACGTTCTTCACTCTTTTGGATACCGCTTCGAACGCTGATAAAGTGCTTCCCTCATATACGAACGCCCTCCGAAAGCAACGTGTGAGAGCCATATCTAACACTTGTGACATCACCATGGAAGATCCTTATTTTCGTCAACTGTGTATCTGAACGTGTTTTTCGCTTGCAGTAGTTTCGTTCTTTTCGCCGCTCAGTTGGAGTGAGGTTACTGTGATGAGGCTCTTCTATGGCATATGGCAGGAACTATCAAAGAAATAAACCGAGTCGTTTTGCCACCTCGAGATACATTCGTTCCTTCACTACTGACATGATGACGTTCTTCACTCTTTTGGATACCGCTTCGAACGCTGATAAAGTGCTTCCCTCATATACGAACGCCCTCCGAAAGCAACGTGTGAGAGCCATATCTAACACTTGTGACATCACCATGGAAGATCCTTATTTTCGTCAACTGTGTATCTGAACGTGTTTTTCGCTTGCAGTAGTTTCGTTCTTTTCGCCGCTCAGTTGGAGTGAGGTTACTGTGATGAGGCTCATTCATGGCTATGGCAGGGAACTATCAAAGAAATAACACAGCAACAATATGTTAGATATGGCTCTCACACGTTGCTTTCGGAGGGCGCATCAGCCAACGCCACCAGTGGCAGAAGCAACAAGGATGTTCAACGTATTGGCAGAACGACTAGCGTAATTCTCCTACAAGGCGACTTGACGTTCAAAGTATCTATTACCGTCACGAGGGTATCGTCAGCGTAGGCGCCCACACGCTCGACGAGTCAAGTCGCGTTCGTTTTCGGCTACGCTACTGCATACAAAAAGTATTCAAGCTACATCCTGCTGAAGACAACACACGTCACATTCGATGAAGCCGTATCGACACTGACCAACCTGTTAGGAGCAAAAGAGTCATCATTCCGCCGTCGTGACGCCTGCATGAAGCTATATGAGGACCCGAGCAAAGACTTCATCACTTACGCTGGGCGATTGAGTCGTGAGTGTGTCACGTTCAAGATAGGCTAGCTTTACCGATGACCGACAACGACAACCAGTTCAAGTGTCTCATTTTCGTAAGCGGATTACAATCGAGCGGTGAACTGAATTGATTGAAGCGGATGCTCTGTTTGTCCCCCCGGTACTT